AAGATATAAAAATATAAATATCAAAACACTAAATTAATATTATTTTTTTAAAATAAATTTTTATTTATTTATATTTATATACAGTATATATAACAAATAAATAAATTATTATTTTATTTTATTTTATTTTTATATAATCAGAAACTTGAATGTAAAAATTTTCGTCTGTATATATATTCATATATGTTTAAAATAAATAATATTATTATTTTCTGATTCGACTTTTATTTATAAATTTGATTTTTTGTAGAATTGTCATTGCTTCAATGATGACCTGATATGCCATACAAAAGTTTTTTATCTCTAGTTTCTTTAATTGCCTTGCCTATTAATGCCACCCATCTAAAGCTGCGAGAGTTATTTTTGAAATAATCGATGAGACATTATTTCCATCTCTAATTTGTTTGAAATCAATGATTGATTAGTTTAATATAAATTTAGAACGAAAGTAATCGGTTGTTTTTTGAAAAAAATTAGTTCCAAATATTCTTGGAAGCGATCAACATTGCAGATCATGCGATTATGCTAATTTAGCTGGCTGATATGATTTTAAAGAAAATTTTTAATAGTTGTACACTATCGTCATCATCGTTATTAATACTTCAAAGAATAAAAAAAAATTATTATTGCCTAATTAACAACTGCAACACATCAAAATCAATTCTAATAATAAAAAATTTTGAAAATACAAAAAGAATGTCAACAACTTCTTCAACAGCAGCAGCAACAGCAACATTTAATCGTTCAGCATTAGAAGAAGTTTTAAAGAAAAGATTTTTTTACGCGCCTTCTTTTCAAATATATGGTGGTGTTGGAGGGCTTTATGACTATGGACCGGCAGGTTGTGCTTTACAAACTAATATACTTGATATATGGCGAAAACATTTTGTTCTAGAGGAAGATATGTTGGAAATGGATGGTAGTATTATGACTTTGGCAGATGTATTGAAAACTTCTGGACATGTTGATAAGTTTACAGATTGGATGACTAAAGATGTCAAGACTGGTGATATTTTTCGTGCAGATCATTTGATTGAAAATGTTTTGGAGAAAAGATTGATAGATGATAAACAGTTGAAAGCTGTTGATAGTGTTGTAGTTGGTGATGATCGTGGTGTTGTTAAGACTAAGGACGGGAAAAATAATAATAAAAAAAAGAACAATAAAAGTTCAAATTTAATAAAATTGGAAGAATCTGTTAAAAATGAATATGAAGGAATATTGGCAAAAGTAAAATACGATTATTGTATTTTTGTATATATTTAATTTTGATATTAATTATTAACTTTTGAACTTTTCTATATAGATAGATAATTATACTGGACCAGAACTTGGAGAAATTATACGTAAACACAATATTAAAAGCCCAGAAACAAATAATGATTTATCTGAACCTGTAGAGTTTAATTTAATGTTCGAAACCAGTATTGGGCCTACTGGTCATCTCAAAGGGTAATTTCTTTTATGATTTAATTTTTCGTATATATATTTATTTAAATTTACAGCCAGAAGATGCTTGATAAATGGATATACATGATAAACCAATATTTTTTATTATCTACCCGTTAAATTTATCTTTATAAGCCAATTTTATTAATGTTTTTTAAACCGAAAAATTTTTTTTGTGATAGCATTGACTTTAGTTTAACTAGTTCTGGCTGTACTTGTTAATTAACTTATTTATTAAATTAATTAATAATTTATTAATTTAGTTATTTAAGACCAGAAACTGCTCAAGGGCAATTCTTAAATTTTAAGAAATTTCTAGAATTCAATAATTCCAAAATGCCTTTTGCATCAACATCAATTGGGCGGTCTTTTAGAAATGAGATTAGCCCTAGATCCGGTCTTCTTAGAGTCAGGTTGAGTTATATATATAAAGTAATTGTAAATAAATTAAAAATAGAATTATATATATTAAATTGCAATTTTTTAATTATTCAGAGAATTTACTATGGCAGAAATAGAACATTACGTTGATCCTGACAAAAAAGATCACGCACGTTTTGATGAAGTAAAAGACATTAAGCTTCGACTATTGCCTCAGTCAATACAGGAAGAGGGCAAATTAGAACCTGTTGAGATGAGTATTGGTGAAGCAGTTAATAAAGTAAATAAATAAATAGTATTTATCATGCAAATCCATTTCATTATATTATGCTAATCCTAATTAAAACAACCTGATAGAAAATAGTTGATAATCAGACACTAGGTTATTTTCTTGCAAGGATACATTTATTTTTACTCAAACTTGGAATAAAATATGAAAAACTTCGTTTTCGTCAACATATGCCAAATGAGATGGCACATTATGCCTGTGATTGTTGGGATGCAGAAATTCAAAGTAGCTATGTTTGTTATCACATTTTAATATATTAATAATCTATTTACATATTGGTTTTTTTTCACTAGTGTTATTAAATTTTTTTTTTAAATTTTTTTAGGGATGGATTGAATGTGTTGGATGTGCAGATCGTTCAGCATATGATTTAACAGTTCATTCGAATCGTACAAAAGAAAAACTTGTGGTGCGGGAAAGTTTACAAACACCAATAGTTTATGAGAAGACAATTTTGGAAATAAACAAAAAAGTGTTTGGGCCCAAATTTCGACAAAAATCCAAAATTGTTGAAGAATATTTGGTAGGATTAAATGATATTGAACTTGACAACTTGAAAAAAGCATTAGATGATGGTGATAATGATGAGGAGGATAGTGATGAGGAGGAGTTATGGTTAATTAAATTACCAGGAAATGTTAATAAATCAGATTTTAAAGGGTTAACAATTAAATTACCGGAAGAAGATAAGGGTAGTGATGATAGTGATGACGATGAAAGTGTCAATGATGGTGGTGCTAATGGTGTTAATGGCAGTAGTGGTAGTGATAGTAAGTTTAGTATAAAAAGTGTAGCAAAATTTAAGAAAACAATATCAGGTGATGAGTACAGTTTAAAAAAAGAACGATATGAATTTGAAGTGTTTCAACTTTTGTCTTCATCACGAGATGATAGTGATGATGATGATTATAATGATATTGAAGACAACTATCAAGAAGATGATAATATTAATAGTATTAGTAATAGTAATAATCAAATAACATTATCAAATCATAAATTAACGTTAAAAACAATGAAAGAATTTGAAATCTTATTACCAAATCCTAAAGGAGCAGATGGTGGTTTGACATTATCAAAAAGAAAACCAGATCGTTACTTTAATGTGCAGCTTAATTACAATCTGTCCAATACTAAAAATAAAATTAATAATGGTGTCGATAAAGAGGGTAAAAGTGATAATATGTTGTCAAAAATACCCGAACATCCACCAGAAATATATATTGAAAGAAAAATCGTAACACCATATCAAGAAATCAGGCAAGAATATATGAAATGTTATGAAGCTGAACATAATAAATATTTAGAGAAGTTAGAAAAGAAATGGAAGATTAGTAGATGGAATAAAAGATTTAAAAAACATGTTAAAGAAGAGAAAAAAGAAATGAAGAAATGGCGCAAAGAATTTCAAAATGCTGTAATGAACTCACAAAAAGAATTTTATGAGAAACTTGGAGAACTTAAATTGGAGGGGAAGGAAGTTAAAAAGGAAGAGGAGGATGATACTAATACTTGGCTAGAAAATTTAAAACGTAAATTGGATGATGATGATGATGATCATAGTAATGATGATGATGATGATGGATTTGAACAATTATTAAATCTAAAGAAAAATCAAGAAAAGAAACGGGTTAGAAAGGAAAAGGAAGAGCAAACAAAAGCATTAGAAACTTGGAGACTTGAATATTCTGGTCTACCTAGATATAAACCACCAGAAACATGGTGGGCAAAAAATAGAGATAAGATCATGAAGGAAGCCATGAAGAAAATTCCACCAAAGAAGCAAAAATAAATCTCAATGCTAAATCAATCAAAAACAAAATAAACAGCAAGTATATACTTTTAAATATTTTATTTTATAATTTACATTTATATAAATTTTTTTTTCAGATATTCAAAATGTTATATTAAAGTTGTGAAGAAAATTAATGAGAAACCAAATTATGTAGATAAGTAATAATACAATTAAAATTGGTAGATTTTCAGGTGGCAGATTAGACGATTTTGCAGTTAGAAAAACATTAAGATAGATGCAAGAAAATTGTTACTAAAAAAAATATATTATTAAATTATTTATTTAAATTTTTTTATTAATAATTTTTACATAATTACGTTGTGATCTTGATCCTTTTCCACCACCAAGAATGACATTGGAGGAGCAATCATTTATATTTGTATTAATATAGTTTTTAACTATCATTATTTTTATTAAGGTAATAATAATTAGTTTAATTTGATTTTGAATATATATCAGTCAGACAAGATTTCACGCTTACTGATTTTACTATGTGATCGACATAGCACGTTTTCCGTACAATTTTTATGCTTCTAAATAAATAGAATCTTGTGCTTTTGCTCGTTTAAATTCAATTTTTTACTTGTCAATAGCTTGTTTCGTTATAGCGCAATAACTTCCCAAAGAGACCGATACTTTTTGACTTTAAAGGCCTAATTATTTATGAAAAACGATTCTATTAAGATCATTTTAGCATCATAAGATAGAGTACATTGAGAGCTCTCAGAAAATATATGGTTCGTTTGGTTTTCTTGGAGGTGGAAGAAATTAAAGGCAAAAAACAATTTTATAAGTTATTTATGACTATTTTATATTAGTATTAAATTTTTTTTTAATTAGATCATTATACTAATTTTATTGAATTATCTAATTTAGATAGAATACATTGAAGTAATTAAAAGCAATAATTCAATGTAATTTTATTTTTGTTTTCTTTTTACATTATTATACCAATAATCACTAACTTTAGTAGATGACCATGAATTATTTATTTTAAATAGATTTTCAAATAATCTTTTTGCTACTTCCTTTGGTAAGTCTATAGGATGATTAAACACTTCTTGAAGAATTTCAAGTTCCTCATTTATTTTTTTGTGTCTCTTATATTTTAGTAAAGAAGTTTCAATCTCATCAATTGGTGCAACTGTTATGTCTGAAACCAGAGTGGGTGGATTGTCTCCAACTTCTATCTCTTTGTTTGATCTACCTTTGTTGATTTCTTTGATGAGTGTATTATGTTCTTTAACTTTCACAAAGCAACATCTTTACTTCGTTTACCAACAGTGGAATGTGGTATTTTTTGTAAACTTCTTGATATAATGGTAAAAATTATGAATAAAAAATTATGGAAGATAGTATTTAAAAAATATATGATTGCAGATAAAATATTTGTTTATTAATAATAATAATAAAATTACAATGATTAAAATGATTAAAAACAGATTTATAAGAATATTGTTATATGATTATATCATATTTATATTTAAATGACAATGTACTTAATTCCTTTATCTGCTAAAGAAAGACTTCAATAATAACCAATCATTAAAAAATAATAATAAATAATAATAATAATAACAGCCTAAATTTTCTTTCTTCTGCAATTGTCACTATTATGTATATAGTAATTATAAATATTACATTAAACAATTAGAAGAAAAAAAAATATTAAATCACAAAGAGAATTTATTTTCATTATTTATACCATATATTTTCTTAATACTAAAAATGTATTCAACATACATTAATTCCTTATTCTTTTTTGTAGGGCAGCGTTGTAATTATTGGAATAACATTTTGCGACCATTCTTATCATTCATTATTTAAAAATGTGTATATATGTATCCTTTAATGAGTCTTGCAATATCTATTTTTATAAACAAAAGGCTAAGTTAATTATAAATATTACATTAAACAATTAGAAGAAAAAAAAATATTAAATCACAGAGAATTTATTTTCATTATTTATATCATATATTTTTCTTAATACTAAAAATGTATTCAACATACATTAATTCCTTATTCTTTTTTGTAGGGCAGTGTTGTAATTATTGGAACAACATTTTGCGACCATTCTTATCATTCATTATTTAAAAACGTGTATGTATGTATCCTTTAATGAGTCTTGCAATATCTATTTTTATAAACAAAAGGCTAAGTTTATCAGTAAGAATATAATTACAATATTAAAAAATTATATAATCAACTACTTATTATTAGTTTTCATTTTATTAATATTTTATTTAAAAATGTATAACTTCCAACTGCTAATTATTTATTGTTTCTTTATGAAACCATATCTCAAATTTTACAAGGAATAAAATAAAATCTCAAAGAATGTGTGTACAAAATATCACATTCCTTGTTAAAAATTACATGTGGGTGTACTAGTGACAAGTAAAAAGTTCTTTTGATTTTAATAGTAAAAATTGACATGTTTCACAAAAATTTTACATAGTTATGACAGTAGACATGTTGATTGTGTGAAATCTTGTCTGACTGATAATAAAAAAGAATTAGATAACGGACCAAACTACTTAAGCATATTAATGTTATAAACTTGAGCAAATCTTTACCTGTAAAAATAATAAAGTTTCTACAAATCTAAACATGCAATCAGCATCCAAATATTGTGTTGGAATGTCTACTGATCTTAATAGAAAAAGGTGACTTATTTTGTCATCATCCCTAATGAGAACATATAAATGGAGTTTTTGCCCAGCAACCTGAATGCCAATTACACCAAACTCGTCACCATCTATCTTACACCCCCTATGTGCACAGTACAAGCCATTGTTAATTTCTATCCACAGCTTCACTTCATCATCGTCTTCTTTTTGTTTATCACAGACAAGGCGAGAACATTCGGCAAAAATTAATTCATAGATTCTTGCATCATGCTTTGCTATGAACATAATATCTGGGCATTTCCCCCTCTTCCCTCTTCAATCTTTGCTAGCAATGCCTTGGCATTCTGCCCTATATAAAGCATATTAATATAATAATAAGAACAATTCTTGATGATAAAAAATACTCACATGCTAATGAATGCAGATTTCCTGAATGGAAGTTTTTTTAGTGCAGCTCGAACTACAGGTACTATGATATCTGTCACATAGGTCCCCTCACTCTGTGACTTAGCAAACTTGGGCCTGAAAGCTGGATTCTTCCAAATTTCTCCTCTATAAAAGCAAGGTATCAATATATAAGAAAATTGTACCAAAGCTTATGTAAACTTAATACTACACTTACAAAACTTCAATAACTCCAGTTGTAATCTTTCCAAGTACCTCTTCTGACTCCATCCAATTTCCATGATGCTAATGAATGCAGATTTCCTGAATGGAAGTTTTTTTAGTGCAGCTCGAACTACAGGTACTATGATATCTGTCACATAGGTCCCCTCACTCTGTGACTTAGCAAACTTGGGCCTGAAAGCTGGATTCTTCCAAATTTCTCCTCTATAAAAGCAAGGTATCAATATATAAGAAAATTGTACCAAAGCTTATGTAAACTTAATACTACACTTACAAAACTTCAATAACTCCAGTTGTAATCTTTCCAAGTACCTCTTCTGACTCCATCCAATTTCCATGAAAAAGTTTACAAGATGATTCCTCAATAGCATCATTATTATCCCTTAAACTGTCCACATTTTCGAATAAGGGAATTTCGAAAATTTTATTGGTAAATTACAAAATTCCACCAATCAAAATTAACCAAATCGCACATTAAAAAATTTTATTATGAATATATCAATTTTTAAGGTAATGATCAACATGGGTATGGTAGACTTTTTACAGTTTTACAAAACCCATAATAATAATGGCCGAATTTCTATATATAGATCAATGTATAAAATCTCAATTATCATTTGTTAATTAGAAAGCATGATGATCAGAAAAATTTTTCTATAAAAAAAATTTAATTGTACAAATTTGTATGATAGCCAGTTTAAGGGATAATTATCAAGATGAATATAAATTTCAAAGAAACTGGTTAGAAAACTGGGTGGATAACGTATATAAGAAATTGTAAGTGTCTTTTATTTATTATTTTTTTTTTAGAGAAAAACTATCTGTTAGATTAAAGATAGAGACATATCACATCAATTTACAGGTAGTTCTTGAGTTCTATACTTTAAGTTTTTAGGAGGTCTTTTGAATATCCATGAGGCTTATTTGCGAGAAGGACCTTTTTATATAGTAATTTCCCACTATATTACAAAACTATTTGTTTATATTACAATTTTAAGAAAGACTTTTACAAGTAGATGTAAAATATGGCATTGATTGGAATATTGTCATCTCATTCGTTTTAATAGATATGTATATAATAAATTAATTATTCATGTGCTTTATTTATTTATAATGGACGGATATGGATAGGTACGTGTCCAGGGTTATGCTTCGCATAATTATATTGTTTTTATCACCATCATTTCCTATTATCCATCCAATAAAACATTTACGAAGATTTTTTGACTTTTAGACATGAATGAGTCAAATAGAAGTGACATATTAAGAAATAGTAGCGGGCAGTAGTAATAATAAAATGTCCCCGTGATCGACATTACACTGATCTTTCGATTTTCAATTAATAATTTTCCAAATTTTATTTTGTTACATTTTACAACGGGACTCCATCATGTTTGGTTTTCTAGCAATATGATTATAATCTCTTTGACTAAATTTAAGTTTTTTAAGTTTTTTAAGTTTTTTGTATGATATAAATCTATAACATAGGATTATTGCTGGTGAAAATTTCAGATACTGTTCATTTAATAAAAAATGAGATACAAGGTGGATCTGGATTGTGAAATCCTTAGGATAACAGGATTGAACCTTTGATAAACTGATGGGATCTTTGTCATCGAGACTTTTTCTTATTTGCCGTCGTCGTCTTTGAATTTGTAAAATTATTTTTATCATTATTGATAAGCTATGATTATATTATTGAAATGCTTTATGCATCATTAATTTATTATAAAATATCATACATCAATTTAAACATGACAACCTGTATAATAACAGTATAGGCTTACTAATTGAGTATATGTACAATATTCATCAAGATATTTTAATATTTAATTACCTAGACTCGAATCTTCAAAACTTGCAACCATATTGATATAAAGCTAACAATGCTGTGATCTTTCGACAACTACCGCCTTTCGTTTAAATCATGAGCAATCTATGGGTTTACATGCCAAGTGCATGCACAATACCTATTACCTCAGATATTTTATAAAAAAATATTAACAACAAATAATAACTTACATGTAACCAGATATTCGAGAATATCTATAACCTTGAAATTCAAACGTCTCTCAAATTCCAGACTTGCAATTATCAATACACATGGTGGCATTGCCTTGACCGTGTCTTCGTCTTTTTCGTAGTCTTCTTCGTAGTCTTCTTTGGATTTGTTGAATTATGATGTGCTCAGCATATAATTTTATCATCATTTATAAATTCAGATTATATTATTATCATCATTGCACATCATCAAAATGCTTTATGAATCATAAATTATCATGCATCAACAACGTTGCTCATTTAAACATAGCAACCAATACAATAGTATAGGTTTACAAGTTGAGTATGCGCACAATACCCATCCAGATATTTTTAATATCTAATCGCCTAGAATCGAATCCTTCGAATCAAATTAGACTTGCAACAATATTGATACCGCATGATGTAAATTGAACCATTCTATGGACTACCATGAAATGATAATATTGCTCTTCATTTAAACATGAGCGACCTATAGGTCTACATGCCAAGTATGTGCGCAATACCTGTTGTCTCAGATACTTTATAAATAAAATATCAACGACACATGATTACGTACATGTAACTAGATATTTAAAAATATCTGTAACGCCCGGGGCCTAGACCCCAGACTTGCAATAGTCAATATACATGGCAAGCCCCGTCCTGGTTCTATTGCGTCTCCCTCGGACCTGCTGAATTTATGATGTGCTCAGCATATATATTTTTTTATCAGATAAATTCTGATTATTATTGCACATCATCGGAATGCTTTATGCATTATCAAAATGCATTTCTTTATACACGCATCATAAAACTATCATGCACCAACACCGTTGCTCGTTTAAACATAGCAACCTATACAATAGTATGGGTTTACATGTTGAGGGTGCACAGTACTCATCTAGAATCGCCTAGACTGAAACTTTCGAATCAACTAGACTTGCAACTATATTGGTACCGCATGATATGAAGCCAACATACAATCTACCCGATAACCGTTGCTCTTCATTTAAAAGCATGAGCAACCTATAGGTGTATACATGCCAGGTGCGTGCACATGCACCTGTTTGTCTAAGACGCATGATAACCTTTTGAGTATACATTTAACCATATATTCAAGAATATATGTACGCCTGGGATTGTTCGAATCACCAGACTCGCAACTATATCAATAAACGCATGCAGCTTCATGAAATTATGATGTGCTCAGAATATAATATTTCATCATCATTAATAAATTCAGATTATATTATTATCATCATCATTGTACATCATCAAAATGCTTTGCGCGTCATTGATTTATCACAATTGCACATATTTAAACAAGCAACCTATATAATAGGTTTTCTAATCGAATTTATGCAGAATATTGACCCAGGTATTTCAATATCTGATCGTCTTGACTCGAATCCTTCGGAGCAAACTAGACCCGCAACCATATGATAGATTTGTTTTATCTTCTTCGTCGTCTTCTTTACTTCTTTCTTTGTTGTTGCTTGGCCAAATACCGCCACTTTCCATAAAGATAAAAAACTCTTGATAGCTGTTGACCACGTTGAGGTATAGCAACACGACAAGGTTATCTGTAATAAATTGAATACAAACGCAAAAAAGCACGATTGATAAGAAATTTATTATATGAGTAATAAATAAATAAACAAAATTAAATATATTCATGGTGCAAGTTTTGACAATATCCTTCCGGTTGTATATACCTTAATAATGACAAAATATATATGTTTTTATAAATAAATAACATACCCTTAATTTTCTTTTCTCGTTAAATATCTTAATATTAAAAAACTTCAAATACATATATCCAAATAATAACAATAATTTTAAAAAAAAATTTTCAGAGTTATTGTTCCACCTTCTGATCAGAAATTTGAATCAATTGCATTAGTCATCTCTAGAAAGTTCTAGTCACGAGTAATATTTGTGGCTGAATTTTATATTAAACATCTATGGGTAGTCTCAAAAACCTTCGCTTTTCTAATCTTAAGCATGCTTATAGGCCTTGAGGCTATAATACAACACTTTTACATGAAAAAAGCTTTGACTGTAATTAATTAATAAGACAGCGCGATTGAATGTTTTGACCAACCCTTAATTATTAGTTAGGGGTCCTTTTGATTATTAAACGTTTTATCCATCATTAGTGTTTTCAAATCGTCCAGGAGCCGGTTTCCCTCCCGTCTTTAACGATCTTGTTATTTATTTATTTTTTTGTTTAATATTAATGTTAATAACGGTCACAAAAAGCAAATACATGTTCATTTGTCACCTTGACAGAGGACCTTATAATAATTACCTAAGAGACATGACAAATCCCGTTCTGCGCTTTGATTTCAATAAGACATTTATATAAAAAATATATATATCAATACAAAAAAAAAGTTCCACTGGTCGTTAATAAATGACATTTCTCCTTTGGAACTAACCATATCAAGTAGCAACACCTCTAGTATCCGTCTTGGACTATTTTTCAAAAAAAAATAATAATAATAATAACAAGTTTTGTAATCGAGGATGTGCAAGTGAGCAGGAGAGACCGTTCTGGGAACACAAAATTTTGGCCCACTGACTTTGGCTTTACCAATTTCCCATAAAACTAAAAAAAATCCCCATTGATAACGTAGAAATAGATATGGGTTTGATTCATTTTGTCAACATCACTTCACCAACAATCATTTCATTAACAAATCTAAGAAGTCGGAAGCAACCACGCGACAAACTATTGAAACAGTTCAATAAATTAGATAATTGTACTACTCAAAAATGTATTTAAAGGGTTGGTTATTTTGATTATATTGAGAGATATGGTCAAGAGAAGAGTTAGGAAGAGAGTTATTCTTCAATAAAGTCGAAAACCTTAATATAACAAATGTCAATGAAATGATCACAAACACAACGAAATTAAGATACGTGATCAAGATGAAAAATGAACAACGTGTGAAAAATCAAACAAATGTTACATAAAACATCACCTTCTGTCCATGTTGATGGACGTGGTAGATAAAAAATAAAAAAATAAAACCAAAAAGGTAAGGAAAGACCAAAAATTTTTTTTAACATCAGATGAACGAATAGTGAAAGATAATTAGATTTAGTAAAATAATAAATAATATATAAATTAATAAAATAAACTAGAGTCAAATTCAACAGGATCTTCTTCCCCGCTGATTTTTCTAAGCCCATTATTATACATTGCTGTATTCAATTTTTTTTTTTTCAACATGTTATATAAAATATTTTTTCTTTTGGTTGAATCAAAATACATTTTGGTATAACATAAAATTGCATCACCCGAATAATGATAATACCAAGACCAAGCAGTAAAATTTGTTCAGACTTTTTTTTTACTAAGAATATAAAATCATTGTTTTTTCTCATTGACATTGAAATGAGGTAAATAATTCTGCCTTGCATTGGAACATATATTCTTAACGTTAACTAACTAATTTCATTTTAGTCACCTATTTGATTTATTTTTCTAATGATAAAAAACATTTAATTCAAAAAAATTTTATATATGGGAATGCTGCAACGATTACTATACTTAAAGATTCCTTGCAAAAACCCTACACAAAAATTACCAGGTATAAGACATTTTCGATTTTGATCTGTTCACATTAATATTGCTAAGAAAATATGCATTCAAAATGACTAATACATTTGTAACAAATCATATAACAAGCTTTAATGTCATTTTGTTAAGTTGGCATTATACAATATTAAAAAAGACAATTGCACTACAACATCACAATTTCATATTTCTTCTATTACTCAACAGAATTTTTATAAGTTTTCAACTTGGTGATGTATACTGGATATCCATCGTGAACAACATTGAATTTCCATATCTCTTAATAATTCTGTTATTCGTGTATTCAGATGTTGAACACAAGCCTGTTCATGAGAGATCATAACTAATCATAATTAATAAATGACTGTTAAAAATAATATTTCAAAGTATTACTAACCCTAAATGCCAATAATTTTTTTATGATATCTTCCAACAGGTATAATTGCATCAGCATATTAGGTATTACAAATGATAGATCAGTTTCATCAACCAGATACATCAGGAAATTTTCCCCACTGCAATATTATGTCCATAAATTTTAATATGTAAAGTTGTAATATTTGCATAAAAATTATGTAATATTTACACTTGATGTAATAATTGCATAATTTTTGTATGTTTATTTGCATAATATTACAGGCCCACTGTAAACTTACATAAATAGTGTAATAATTACGTAAATCCGCGTCAGAAAAATTTCCTGATGCTATGTCCCATCATAGTAATGCATCGCATAGAAAATGAAATCCTGCTCTAAAAACACACAGTTTAGATGGAAAAAATTCAATAACAATAAACATGCAATAAACGTTACTTACTATAAACTAGGATGCCAAATATCTCAAGATTTTGCTGAAGTTTCTTTTTGTCATTAATTCCACTGTTGCGCATTATTTGTTCTAGTTGAAATAATGCTAATTGCATTGCCTTTAAAATTTTATCTCTATCTCCCATCATTTTCTTATGATCCTCAATCATTGAATTTCCCACAACCTCAAGGAAGCCAATGTATTCATCAGCACCATTCACATTAATTGTAAGGATTCCATCATGATACCAGCCTATTGGTCACCTATTTTCAGGAAGCCTTGATAAATCCTTTTGGTTTTTGCGGTGTTTATTCTCAACTTCGCCACTATTAAAAATATATAATTTTAATACAGTACCTGGACAAAAGTTTCGGAACACTTGTTTTTGTTAATTGCGCAAAAATGTACATAATAAACATATATGAAATTTATATAATTTGCGGTTTAGGTTCTTGTAAATATCTATGCAAAATCCCATGCATCTAGGTTCCGTAGAACTCGAATAAATATATAAAAATGAAATTCGATTAAAAAATTTTCTTTGACGATCACTAAATTTCTGATGCGAAATATTTTATTTTATTACCCAAATTCTATGTAATAATTTAATTTAAAATTTTAACTACTTTTAATATTTAGTTGGGTATCCTTTGCTCTTTATACAAGCCTGAATTCTTCTAG